GAGGGCGCCCAGAGTCGAGTGTTCCTCAGCTCTGATCTAGGGTGGACACTCTTCTCTCATCCCTGGGTAGGAGTCCGTATACTGGACACGGGATGGGGAGACCGCAAGAGTGTTAGCTGCAGTTCCCTCAAGAGGACCTGTGTTTGGATCCCCAATACACGAATACAAGCCAGGCATGGCCACCTCTGCTTGTAACCCCAGCACTGGGAGAGTAGAGACAGCTGGATCCCAGGAGCCCGCTGGCTTCAGGTTCATGAGAGAACATGTCTCAAGGGAAGGAGGCAGAAAGTGACAGAACACAACACCAGTGTCACCTTCTGCCCTAGGAACACGCACCTGCACACACAAGCATGCGCCAAACACACATTTAAAAGGGGGTGAGGGGATCCTGGGTGTAATCAGAGACCCATGCTGGGGCTTTCGGGAAGGCCAGAGACAGAGGCCTGCGGAGGGGACAGTGGAGGCGACTGCTGGGCTGGTTCAGGCTCACCTACAGTCCCAGAAAGCTGGTCCGGGAGCCTTCCAGTTCCACAGGCTTAACCCCAGTACCCACTCCTCCAAGCTCTGTACCAGGATTTCTTTGAAACAGAAACAGGCTCTGGCCGGCCTTCTGCACCCAGGTAGCTCCAGTGGGTCAAGCCCAGATGTCCCCTTCTAAGCTGGCAGTTTGGACCTGGAGGGGACTGTAGGTCCACTTCACCGACAGGCTCCCACTCTCTGCTCTTTCTCATCTGCCTGCACATGGAAGTGTGATTTCTGGATTCTGGTTCTGGCTAGAGCCTGACCCCACCCCCAGAAGAGACTGAAAAAGGCCATGAACACCTCTGGGCCTCAATTTTATTCTCTGTAAAATGGGAGTGAGCCCTCTTTGACATCTCTGCCAGCTGGGTACAGAGGGATGGTATCGTGGAAGGGGCTGTGGTTGGGCAGAACCTCCCGGCCACAAAGGATGGTAGTGTGGTTTGTGTGTCACTCATGGTGCCTTTGGGAACTAGCGGCCGGCTTTGATGTTGCCGTTCTCAAGGCCTGAAGGCTTCCCAGGGAAGTAGTGGGGGAGGAGAGGAAAGGGACCGCAGAGGGCAGAGGCAAGAGTGTTGGCCGCCTTCTGGGGAGAGGGCACAGGAAGTGAGGTGCTGTCTACAGAGGAAATGAGAAGCGAGCACCCCCAAACTTCCCATCAGCAGCAGGGAGGGGGAGCAGGTTTTAGCTTTAGCAGGGCTGTGGGCCCAGGGTGGGGGAGAAAAGACGGAGCACCATTAGCACCATCTGGCAGAGTCTCCGTCTTGGACAGAGGAAGTCAAGGGCCTAGGACGTCCCCACACTTGGGAAGTGGAGAGAACAGAACCACTGAGCCAGGCTGTGAAAGCCAGAGCTCCAGCTCACGTGGTGTGGATCTGCAGCCTTGGCCAGCCGCCTGCTTCCAGCAGTGCCCAGCCACACAGCTCGGCACGCGCCTCCGCTCACACAAATGCGTACCAAGCTGGGGCAGGTCCTGCGAGTACTCACTTTTTTCTTTAAGGTCGACAGATTTGTAGTGATTTATGGGGCACGGTATCCTAATTACATGTATACAGTAAGTGACAATCACATCAGGGCTGCACGCGGCCTTTCCTAGCGCCCTTGTCACAGCTGCATTTTACAGCTGTTTAGTCGCTTGGTAAGTGTGGGCTGTCTTGATAGGAAGTTCTAGAATATCTGCTGGCTTCATGAGTGGCCTTGCACAGCTTAAAAATTCCTCCGCAGCTGGTTTGGACATGAATCCCAGCATCTGAGTGAAGATCAGCGTTTGGCCGATGAATTCTGACAGTGATTTGTAATCAAGTGCGGGAACCTGAGGGGGGTGCTCTGGCTCTAACATCTGTAAACCACTCCCCACAACATTGTCAGTTTCAGGGTGAGAGTATAAGAAGTGGGGGTCACCGAGAGGTGACGAGGTTAGGGGTGGTGTCCTTGAGGATGAAATCAGTGCCCTTACAAGAGAGGCTACGCACTGGTAGTGGTAGCTCATGCCTGTAATCTCAATACTCAGGGGGCTGAGAGAGAACGATTACCAAAGTTCAGGTTCAAGGTCAGCCTGGAATACAGTGAGTTCTGTTTTGAACAAGAACAAAAACAAAACACAGAGGCCTTAATTACAGCCTGGCTCCTCAGGCCTCTTTCATCTGTCTAACTCCTGGAGGAACCTCTAGACGCTTTCTAGCCCACGAGAATACAATGAGAAGGCTTTATCTCTGAACCGGAAATCTGTCCTTTGCAGACACCGAGTGTTTGTCACATGCTTGGTCCTGTACCCCTCAGCCTCTACAGCTGTCAGAAAGAACATCTGAAGTCATGTGACTTTGCTACAAGCAGCCTGCAGCCAGAGCGTGGGGAACCCTCTAACACTCAGGGTTGCCAACCAGTAAGAGAACAGACGGACAGGGTAGGTGAGGGGTAAAGAGAATCCACGCGTGTGTTTGTCTGCTCTTGTATAAAGAAACTCTGCAGGGGCAAGCATGCCTGTGACACACGCCTGTAACCCTAGCACTGGAAAAGCTGAGGCAGGAGGCTTCTATTTGCAGATCAGGCTGGCGGGCTACACAGTGAGAGGCGTAGCTCAGTGGTAGGGGGTTTGCCGAGCACACACCAGGTACTGGGTTGGATCCTCAGCAAAGACAAAACAGCTGGATGCTTAAGTGAGAAACTAGTAAGATGTTATCCAGGAGAAGGGCATGAAGACGGGGGATGAGTTCTCACTGCACGCCTTTTTAAAAACGAGTTTGATTTTTCAACTTTGTGAAAAAAAAATCGAGTGAAGAATTAAACTCTAGGCTGCACATGTGGTAATGGTGCACACCTTTAATCCCAGCACTCGGGAGGCAGAGGCTCAGGGATCTCTGTGAGTTCAAGGTCAGTCTGGTCTACAGACTGAGTTTCAGAACAGCCAGGGCTACACAGAGAAACCCTGTCTCAAAAACCTAAAACCAAAACCAAACAACATCTTCCACCAACGCCCCTCCCCCCAAAAAAACAACCAAACAAAAAAACAACAAAACAAAATTCTAAGCTTCAAGCATAACATACACCTCTCATGCTGTGACCCCAGTACAGGGCTACAGAACACCTTGCTCTAAAATACAATTTTTTTTTTTGAGACAGAGTTTTACTATGTAGGACCATTATGTAGGGCAAGCTGGCCTCAAACTCACAGGGTGCTGGGATTAAAGGCATGTACCACCATGCCTGACTAAAATAACTTTTTTTTTTTTTTTTTTTTTTTGGTTTTTCGAGACAGGGTTTCTCTGTGTAGCTTTGCGCCTTTTCCTGGAACTCACTTGGTAGTCCAGGCTGGCCTCGAACTCACAGAGATCCGCCTGGCTCTGCCTCCCGAGTGCTGGGATTAAAGGCGTGCGCCACCACCGCCCGGCTAAAATAACTTTTGAAATATATAAGGAGTCTGGGGTTGGGTGCATGCCTTTAATCTCAGCATCTGGGAGGCAGAGGCAGACAGATCTCTTAAATTCAAGGCCAGCATCGCCTACAGAGAGTTACAGGACAGTCAGGGCTACATAGAGGGACCCTGTCTCGAGGAGTCAGTGGATGTACAAGGGTAGTACAACCCTTGTCTGGGCTATGTCCTTAAGGCCTGGGTCCCGTCACTCCCAAAATACAATTCCTATAAGCGGAGTGGCTCACACCTGTAATCCACTGCTTGGGAGGCTGAAGAATGACTACAAATTTGAAGCCATTCTGGGTAACATAGTGAGTTCCAGGAGGCCAGTCTGAGCTACAGAGTAAGCACTTCTTTCAAAAAAACAAAAACAATTAAAAAACAAACTACTTGACCAAGTGCCATTCTGAGGGAGTCTTGCTGGCATCACAGGCCTGTACCATCACTATGGGCTAGCCAAGTTTGCTCTAAAGCGTCTCCCAGCTGTGCCCATCCACAGTCCTGCACGAATAAGCAGAGCAAACATCCCAGGAGCAGGTGAGGCAGCCTGGCCAGATGTGTGTGTGTGTGGACTCTGACCATGCGTACCAACGTCTTGGCTCCGTTTCTTCTCCGGGGTAAGAGAGGCTGCTGTGTCCCCAGTCTGTGGTGAGGGCACAGCAGCAGTACTACTCAGAAAGTGGCGAGAGCTATGTGCCATCTAGACCAGCAGTCCTCACCTGGGGGTCGCGACCCCTTTGGGGGAGGGGTCAAACGGCCCTTTCACAGGGGTTGCATATCAGATGTTTACATTAAGGTTCATAACAGTAGCAAAATTACAGTTGTGGGGTAGAAATAGGAATAATTTATGATCGGGCGTCACCACAACACGAGGAACTGTTTTAAAGGGTCGCAGAATTAGGAAGGTTGGGAACCACTAATCTAGATCCTTGGGAAGAAGCAAAGTCTCAGTCAGACAGCAGGATAAGCAGACCACCCTCCAATCCACACACAACTTGGGTACTAAGAGGTATGAGGTTGATCCAGGGGAGACTTTTAAGTCAGGTGGGAATAACATAGGCAAATGACTGCTAGAAATGCCCAGGGCTGCTGTGGCAATTTCTACAGGGATGTCTCAACACATCCCTGCACAAAAAGGACCAATTACAGCCCCTACCTCAATCCAGCTGGTGTAAAGTGAATCAGCCTTTGGAAATTTAGCCCCCGTGAACCCCAGGACCACACCCCCAGGGGTTCCAGGGTCCTTCATAGCTTCCCCCTGGGGTCAGAAGCAAATCTAGGCTGAGATGTAGGAGAAATGCAGACCTACTGCTCAGGCCCTGTGGGCGACAATACAAACACCAGCATGGATCGACCCTCCTTTTAAAAGAGCTGTTTAAACAAACAAACAAAACCAGTGTTCGAGATGGAACCCAGGGCTTTTCAAGCTCTTTACTACTGGGTTATATCCCTGGCCCTGTAATTTTTCTTTTCCTTTCCTTTTCTTTCTTTCTTTTCTTTCTTTTTTTTTTTTTTTTAAATAAAAAGCTTAGTTGAGTACTACTAAGCTCCCAGAGCTCAAGGACCCGCACAAGGTTCAGGATGCTGTGCCTAACTGGGTTCTTCTAAGCACCTACTGGGTTTTTAGAAATCAGTAATAACAATGATAATTCACCTTAATAACAGCCTGCCCCCCTCAGACCTCTTTCATCTGAGTAACTCCCAGAGCTGAGAAAAACGGTAATTATGGAGCAGGTGCCACACCCCAATGATGATGTGTTATTAATTCATGAGCCCTGGCTGGGAAACTGAGGCCCAGGGAGAAGGCCCTTGCTCCAATGGAGCTAAGACCCCCCAGTGCTGAAAGTTGCGGGGCAGTTGGGAACTGGAGATGTCGGCTCCGCACCGGCAGTTTTAGGAACATGTTCATGAGAAGTGCGTTTCCTCCAGATGTGGGTGGGGTGGAAGGTATAGACAGACCCCAGATGTGTGTCCCACGCTTTCTCACAAGGCTGCAGCAGGACCGAGTGGGCAGCCCTGGCAGGGAGTGATGGCCTTTGTCTTTGAGTCCCTGCTCTACTCTCCTGGAGTGCAGAGAAGCAGGCCCACGGCTGCCTGAACCATCATCCCTAAACGAGGGGACCACAGGATAAGAGAGGGCTCCGGACAGCTGCACGTCACAGCACAGTACAAGAGGCAATGGAGTGTCAGGGAGTGGAGCAAGTCAAGAAGTGAGGACAGGGCCTGGCATCTGTAAGGCCCTGGGTTCAATCCTCAGCACAGGGAAAAAAAAATGTCACTGTAAAACTGTGTCTTGGGAACAAGCTTATCACTGTAGCACCTATCCACCTTTGGCAATGGTCTTCAAATGATGCGATCCTTCCCACAGCAAGTGGGACTCGGCAGGGGATGCCCTGCTGGCCCAATATCCAAGAGGGCAGGTGGAAACCCGCAGTAGGCCTTTCCCGTTTGTATCCAAGGAGGGAAGCGGCGGACATTCAAACTAGGATCACGGATAACAAGATTCTGCAGCTATGCGCACGGCCTACTGTGTGTGCCTAGCACAGCCTACTGTGTGCCTAGCACAGCCTACTGTGTGTGCCTAGCACGGCCTACTGTGTGCCTAGCCCTGTGCCGATGCTGGGAACACAAACCTCAGCTCCCAGGGAACCGGAAGAGCCAAGGCAGGAAGCCATCAATGATCTCATCTTCTGTTGCTCCAGCTTTTCTTCAGCCAATTAGAAGCTGACCAAAGCACCCAGGGAACCCTAGGCTAACGCTCTAAATAGCTACCTCAGTTCAAGAACCGGCATTCTTTGATTTAAACACAACCAGTTTTCTCATGAATGAGAGACTAAGTCAGAAAACCATGTAAACCAGAGTCGAGAAGCTTGAATCCCATCTTGGGGCACTCACCACCATGTGAATCACTTCTTTTCTGTCAGCTTCCCTGTTTGGGGTGGGGGTGTTGAGACAGGGTTTCTCTGTGCAGCCCTGGCTGTCCTGGAACTCACTCTGTAGCCCAGGCTGGCCTCAAACTCACAGAGATCCGCCTGCTTCTGCCTCACGAGCGCTGGGATTAAAGGACATGGGCCACCATACCCGGCTCAGTTTCCCCATTTCTAACTTGAAGGTGGGTCTTGGACTAGATTCTTCTCTAGGATTCCTTCCAGCCTGTGGAGGCTCGACATTGTTTTGATGTGGTGGCAGATCTCAGATTGATTTACATAAATTTGCATGTTCAATCAAAAACTCCAAACTCCAAGTATAGAAAATCCAATCACTCCATTAGTGCAGCCAGACAGGCTGGAGGGGCTGCCAGGTTCAGGCGAGGGTTGTCAAGGCGGCCGGCCGGCAGTAGCAACGGGACTGGGGGAGGGGCTGAGGGAAGCAGGAGTGAAAAACGGTACCTGTTCTAAGAGACAGAGGTCTGGTGACCCGGGTCTGCCCGCCGGGGCCCCTCAGCCCTCACTTGGGCTGTCCTTTCTCCTCCACAGGGCCTCGGGCTGGCCAGCCTCAGAGCCATTCCGCAAGATGGGATTGCTGCGTCTGCCTAGCAACAGCTGCATCCTTCACTCTGATAGGAACTCCACCAGTAACTGCTTTCTGGGAAACTGACCTCCCTGGGAGTTTCCATTATCCATTTCAAGGGCTTCACAACCGTGAGGGAGGTTTCTTGGGGTTTAACCTACAAGCCTCCTGCAGAAGCTTCCTAACACAGGGTAGCAGGGCTGAGGCTAGCGGGCTCCCCAGGCCTAGGACAGCTGGCAGAGTAAAAGACAATGCAGGACAGACAATGTGCCTCACATCCCAGGGCCTCTTTAACCACCACAATCTCCGACAATACTCCCCTTCACCTGGGAGACCAAGGATGAAAATAAACAAGACTATGAAGCCTTCTGGCTCTTGGGCTGGAAAGCAAGTCCTAACCTGGAGTACCAGAGTCCTGAGAGAGCCCTACCTCAAAGAGGTAAGGGGGCTGGGAAAAACAGGGCTGTGGCAGCGTCTCCTCCTCGCTGCTTGGGAGCTGGGGTGAGTACAGAGGTGCAGTGTGTGGAGCCAGCAGGTAGGATGGGCAACAGCGGTGGGGCCCTCCTTGCCCTCTTCCCACAAGAGGGTGGATGAATGTGCTGGGCTCTCTGGCTCAGATCCTAAAACAAGTCCCAACAGCTGAGATGCAAACTGTCTCCTGGGAATTGCCTACCCCGCTGGCCCTTGGCTGCCTCCTCCTCTCTCAACCCCTCCCCAAAGATCCAACTCAAAGACTGGCCCAGTCATGATGTCTCACCTTGATGGGTGGGCTGAGCCTGAGCCAGCAGGAGCTCATATCCCAAGGCACCAGGGTGAGCAGAAAAGGACTATTCACAGGCAGAACAGAGTTCTGTTCTCTCAATCCAAAAGTCTAATCCTCATCAACTGTGGCCCAGCATTTTAGCTCTTAATGGAGACACCCTGCTGGAGGACCTTCCTCCCCTCTCCAGTCGCCCACCAGTGGGAGGGATTTTTAGATCTTTCTGCTCCTACTGCTGAGTGTTGAAGATGAAGGAAATTGAGCCCCGTGGAAGCAAACTATCTTGCTCAAGGTCAGAAAAGGCTGGAAGCGCAGGGCCCAAAGCGCATCACTCTGGCCATCTTGACAGCAACTCAGTGCCCACACACAAACCTTCCCTGCCTTCTGATGAAGTTCTCTGCAGCCTGAGACAGCAGTCTCCCTGTCTAGGGTTTTCCTTCAAAGGCTGGAGCTGGAGGAGGATACTATGAAGCCAAAGACACCTTAGGCACAGACCACAGGCGCTGAAGGCAGAACCAAATGATTACTGTAGGAATACCTCTCTAGACAAAAATACTCGTGGTCTCTCTGGAGCAAGAAACTCCATTCATCTCACCCTGGGGTTGGGGTTCAAAATCCGTGCGCCAGGCTTTCAGGCCAGATTGGGGTGTGTGTGTGTGTAAGATAAAAGAGGGTCTACAACAAAGCAATTGCTCACTTCCCCTCAAAGGACTGGACACACAATAGTGAGACAGACTCTTTCTCCATGGTTCCTCAAACCAGTTCTGGTCCCGGCCTCTGTCTCCTACCACTTCCTCTGGCTGACAATTGTGTTTAAGCAGGAGGACCCACTGGAGAATGCAAAAGAGAGTTCCTGGAGAGGAAAATGACAGATTGCCTTTAAAGCTAAGGAAGCCCTCAAGCCTAATTAAGACCCCTAGCTCCTGAGGAAGCGGGTCTTTAAAAGGCAGCTGCTAGGCAGGCTGGGTGGGTTTGGCTGAACCCTCTGGAAAGCCAGACCTATGGGGAGGTGAAGGCCTTCTGTGCCCTTGGGACAGCGCCAGGGCTAGAGAGACAAGAGGGGCCTTCTGCCCGGGATGTAGAGAGAGAGTTGGGGTCCCAACCGCCGCTTTCCCGGGCCTGCTAAACCAAGGGACTGTCAGGCACAGATAAATTCTCTGCATTTTTTTTTTTTTTTTTAGCATCCCAGCCCAAACCCAGAAAGCCTTTTCTGTCGGGGCTGCCCTGTCCACGCTCCAGCCCAGCCCTTCTCCCCCCTCAGCCTCTATTCAGCAAGGAGCCTGTCGGGCTTCTTCCCCTAGCCCCTCGGAGCCTCAGTAGGGTTGTTCCCAAGACCCGGTCACTCCGCCTTTCCCCGCCTCCCCCACGCCCTACAGCCCCGGGCCACAGGGACTGGAAGGAGTACGACGGGGTGCCCCCAGGCTCCGGTGTGCGCCTGCGCTTTGGGGAGAGCCCCCTCCCTCGGCAACCCAGCACCGCTAAACAGTACCGGGACCGCGGGATGCGGGTAGGGTGGGAGACGCAGTGGGGGCAAGGTCAGTGCTTTCAAAGAGGGAGGGAGGCCCGCCACCGGAACATCCCCCACTCCCGAAAGTTTCCCTTCCGGGGCCACCGAGTGTGCGCGAGGATGGCGCTTAGGGGCGGGAGGGGGTGGGGTGGGGGGTGGACAAAGTCACAGCAGGACCCCTCCTGAGAGAGTGCGGCGGGAGGGACTGGCAGGCGGCGAGGTGTGGGCCGGAAGCCTCGCGGCCCCTTCGAGCCTAAGCTGCCACGAGAGCCTTTCACTCCACACTCCCCGGCCCCCGCCCAGGGCGTACGGCCCCCCGCCTCACAGCCCGTTAAAGGCTAAACAGGCCTGAACTCACCGAGATCAGGTGCTGAGCCCGGCAGGCCTGGTCCGCCGGATCCATGGCCGCATCTTGGGGGGGGACAGAAAAAGGGGGGTACCAGAGCCGCCTCTTGATGTCAAGGCTTTAAAGGGGCCAGCGAGCCCCGCCCCTCGCCGAGGCCCCGCCTCCCTCCTCCCGCGCAGCCAATCCAAGCTCAGCCTGGGCGCGCGCCCCTCCCAGCTCTGTCCAGATGTTCCCAGGACGAGAGCTAAGTCTGCCCGGCCGGCGCGCGCCGCTTCCGCCCGGGTGGGAAGGGCCTCCCCTCCCCCTCGACGGAGACACACTCTGCGCCAGGCCGGAGCTGACCGGCAAAACCTTCCCAGTGCCGGGGTTGGGGATGCCAGGCCGCGCCGAGCGGGGCGGGAATGCGGGCATTTAGAACAGAGAAAACTAAGTAGGTTCCCGCGGGCCCACGGGCATGCGCGTCTGCTTCTGTGGGTCTGGGCGTGCACGTGTATGTGGTTGAGAGCAGTGTTTGTAATTTGCCATTCCTGCTTACGTGTTGGGAGTAAATCTATGGGAAGAGGCCCGAGCGTCTCCTTGGCCTTAAATGCTCTCTCTTTTCCTTCTCTAGGTCGGGGTCTTCCCAGATAGCTGGAAACTGGGCGAGGAACAGGCATCATTTGTAGAAAGCAGTACAGGTTTAAGAGGCAAGGCAGACCCAGGCGTGATTGCTCTCGCTTTTAATCCTCACACTAGTACTGGGGAAGCAGAGGCAGGCAGATCTCTAGCGCAGAAAAAGGATACTGCCTTGGATTTTAACCACTTCCTATCCGGGAAGAGGAAAGTGTAGTTCAGACCACTGGCTAGAGGAAACAAGCTAATTAACTCACTCAGGCCCTAGCAACCTAAGAGCTCAGGACCATTCTCGTTGGTCTATTGGCTATGAGGCGTATGTTGAGACGGGGTCTCCATATAACCCTGGCTAACCAAGAACTCGGGAAATAGGCCAGGCTGACCTCGAACTTACTGTGATCCTATAGCTTCTGCCACCGTTTTGGTCCTTGAACACTTACTTGCCCTTCTGAGGATAAGTTTAACCTTCACAACCTGCATTGTACGAACTGGCCTGGATGTCCAATGGATATACATTGGACACAATGTATATTTTATTAAAATGGCTTCTGTCGTATGTGTACAGGATAAGCCTTAAAGTGAAATTAGTCCAGTAAAGGGACATAAACCATAAGAGAACATAGGGTGGTCAGGTTGGCTGGGATTAATTAAAGAGTTCCTCTCTGAAGAAGGCATCTCATTTAAAGTGGGATTTTGAAGACAGAAAACTTAGTAGGATCTAGGCAGGACAAGAGAGCGGTAAAAAGCTAATTACCGGCATGGGATAGCAAGCTAGTTGGAGAGTTAGTGAAGGAAGTTTTGTATGGAAAACAGAATGAACATATGGATAAAGGAGTCATTTTGGATTTAAAAACAAAACAAACAAACAAACAAGGTTCTCACTGGATAATTCCTCCTGTCTCAGTCTCCTAGGTGTTAGGATTTGCAGGTGTGCCCAGGTCAAGCAAGCACTCGATGTGGGACCAAATCCATGGCCTTCCATTCCCTTTTCACCAGATTTCTTGATGCTCAATTATGGCATCTTTGGAACACTACAGGACTGATTAATCCTTGCCCAATCATCCGGTATTTATTGAATGGGGATTAATGGCTAATCCTAGGAGTATAACAACAATTAGACACAGTTCTTCCCTCAAAGGGCTTTAAAGTCCAATATGAATGATGTATCTGTTGTATCCTGTGCTTGGGATGGAAATCTTGAGTCTGCCAGGCATTTCTGATTACTTTGGAATATTTGCAAGTAACTGAACTTTTGGAAGCAAACCACGTCTGGATTTTTTCTCCATTCACATTTATCCTTATTTAATAAACACAGACAGAACATCTGCCTGTCCTTGCCCTCCGTACAGGCTCTCACACACTGGATATTTTGGCTGTCAGATTTTGGCAGACTTTATGCGTCACAGACCTTTGTCCAGAGACAAGATGTGAAACTGTAGCAATGTTCCATGGTTATTTTCTTTGAAGAGGCTTATTACATTTTGATTTAGTTTTTAATCAGTTTATTAAAACTTGGAAGTCCGAAAGTTGATTCTCCATTCTTATTCTCCATCACTAATAGTGTCCTTTCCTTGTCTGGAGCTGCAGGCCGCTGTTTACAAACCCCGTGTGATGGTATGGCATAACTATGTGTACAGTAATCATGACCTTGGAGAGCCACGCCCTCACCACTCACACCAGCATTTGAATAGCATACTCTTACTGTTTTTAAAGATTGATTTATTTTTGCGCATGGGTGGTGTTTTGCCTGCATAGATATCTGTGCACCAATTGAGTGCTTAGTGCTCACAGAAGTCAGGGGAGGACATCAGATCCCCCAGAACTGAATTGTGGATGATTGTGAGCCACCTTGTGAGTGTTGAGACTTAACTCTGGTCCGCTGCAAGAACAGGTACTCATAAGCACTAAGCCATCTCCCCAGATTCTCTGCTTTGATACCATGTGGTCAGCCATTCAGTGTTGGGCATCTTCAGAGGCTGACACCATAGTCACTTTACTGTTGTATCAGTTGATGAGATGACCCAGATTTAGAACTCCTGGCAGTAAGATGTGGTCAGATTGCTAACTGGCTTCTCAGAACACCCTTACCTGCCTGTCTTCAAGTTGGATCAACTCCAGGACACAATCTAGACGTTACTACTACCTAGTAAGAGGAAGAAAGGAGCTGGCTAGCGTTTCATTCATTTTCTCAGTAGGAGTAAGTCATTGCCAATATATTTTGAAATCTCTCACCTGCAAGATAATGATGGGTCTGCTCACATCCTTGAACTTCTTTTTTGAGTTGGACCCAATGGTTCAGGCCTGTAGTCCTCGATACTTGGGAAGATCACAAGTTCAAGGCTTGCTGGGCTACAGAGTGATTTCAAAAGCCAGTTTAGGCAACTAAATGAGACTCCATCTCAAAACAAAAAGTAAATAAAGGGCTGGGGATACAGCTCAGTGGTAGAGTACTTGACTAGTATGTGTGAGGTCCTGGGTTCAGTCCCCCAAATTTTTGCTGAGCCTTTACTCTATGTTAGGCCCTATGCATACAGTATTAGGCTGAGTAGCAAGGATGACTTTGGAAAAGTAAGCAGTGTAAAAGCTATACTTTATCCTAGGAGCAAAGCAGAGCCTTGGCATGGTTTTAGGTGAGGGTTAGGGATAGAGCTGGAGGGATGCAAAATCAGATTTGTATTTTGTGTTTTGTTTTTCTTTTTTGAGAAAGGTTCTCACTGTGTAGCCCTGGCTGGCCTGGAACTCCCTATGTTGACCTGGCTGGCCTCGAACTCAGAGAGCTGCCTATTTCTGCCTCCTAAGTGCTGGGATCAAAAGTACATCACTAAACCTGACTTCAGATTTATATTTTGGAAAGACCACTATGGTCACAATGTGGACAGAGGTAAGACTGAAGTCAGGACACCAGACTGAAAATATTTATAACAACTGGGGAGAAAAAGGAGAAGGGATGTGGTCTGGAGTAGAAAATAATAGAAGTGATGGGTATAAGATGACTTAAAGAAAACATAGCAGGCTAGGCCTGGTGCGGCACACTTCTATCCCAGCTCTCAGGAAGCAGAGGTACATGGATCTCTGGGAGTTCAAGGCCAGCTTGGTCTACATATGGAGTTTCAGGACAGCCAGGGCTGAATAATAGAGAGACCATGTCTCAAAAAACCCAAAACTGCTGGGTGGTGGTGGTGGCGCATGCCTTTAATCCCAGCACTCGGGAGGAAGAGTCAGGCAGATCTCTGTGAGTTCGAGGCCAGCCTGGTCTACAGAGTGAGATCCAGGATAGGCACCAAAACTACACAGAGAAACCCTGTCTCGGAAAAACAAAACAAAAAAACAACAAAAAAAAGAAAATGAAATTCATAGCAACAGAGGCAATGGACCTTGGGATTATAAGTGGAAGGAAGTGGAGAGGAGGCCAGACCTTTCAACTGTATACTTTGCAGATAGTAGGACCACACACTGAAATAAAAGATGCTGGAGAAAGAAGGCTTAGGAGATGGCGTGCTTACTTCCAAACAGGTTGACACTGAAATGCCCAGAAGACATCCAGCTGGAGATGCCTGTCCAGGGTGAGTACTTCCTTCCCAACTGCTGCTGTTCCCGGGGGAGGCTACAGACATGCTGCACACTGACCAGTGCTGTTCCCGGGGTAGGCTATAGACATGCTGCACACTGACCAGTGCTGTTCCCCATGGGGGTGGGGAGGGGGTTATGTGTACAGACATGCTGCACATCAATCCTTAGGACAAGCTTGTCCGTGCTGTATTGCATCATCCAAGATAGAAAATCCCATCATTTCCTATGTGTGCCATGATATGAAAAGATTAGGATGCTAAAACTCACGTCCATATATGGCATGAACGCAGAAGAGAGACTGGGGGAAAGGAGACGAGGAGAAATGGGGGGAAGGATGGTATGGGAGGATGAGTACAGTCAAAATACATGTTTTTTTTATGATATATTATGTACAATGAATATATACCAGTGGGCGGGGGGAGTTGGGGGCTGGACTGGATAGCTGGTTCAGAGGTTAAGAGCACTGGGTGCTCTTCGACTTGGGTCTGATTCCCAGCAGCACCCACATGAAGGCTCACAACTGTCTGTAACTCTAGTTCCAGGGGATCTGTCACCCTTTTCTGGCCCAGCAGGCACCAGGCAGACATATAGTGCACAGATACACAGGAAGGCAAAACACCTTCATACACATAAAAGATAAAATAAAATAAAAAATAAAGGATGAAAAGCAATAATGTTGGCTTTTGGTAAATAATTTTGAAGCTCAAGAGAGGATCTGAACTAAAGAAATCTACAAGTTATTAAAATTGGGGGCACCAGGCTGGAGAGATGGCTCAGAGGTTAAGAGCACCGACTGCTCTTCCAGAGGTCCTGAGTTCAATTCCCAGCACCCACGTGGTGGCTCACAACCATCTATAATGAGATATGGCACCCTCTTCTGTATACATAATAAATAAATAAATCTTTAAAAAAATTGGGGGCACCACAGGGTGGAGGAACTCATACAGGAGGAGAGGGGGTGCTGTGACAGAATCCCAAGGAATGCCAACATTAGACAGGGATCTGCAGAGGAGAAAGGAAACCAGAGGGATGTCATCACCAGAGTCCAAGCCAGATGTCCAAAGACCAACAAGTTTCCAGTGCTTCCAAGGTGGGGTCAGCACAGACATTCTTATGACTTTAGCCACACATCACTGGAGACCGGCAAAACCAGATATGGAATGGTTGAGAAAGACATACGTAGTCAGTAATGGAGACAGGAAGTGTTTAAACCTTCCAAACATCTTGGCTGTGCTGTTAGAGAAAAAAAACCAGGCAGATATAGGTGAATGAGGCAACAGGGTATTCATAAGAGTTGTTTTAGTCAGCTTTAGGAAAGCATTGCTTAATTTAGAAAATTATTTAAATTTAATCTTTTAAAAGTATGTGCATCAGGGCCAGGGAGATGGTGCAGCCAGTGAGGTGTGTACCAGACACACGTGAGGACCTCCGTTAAGACCATTAGCACCCACATAGAAAGGCATTGTGGCCGGGCGGTGGTGGCGCAGCCGGGCGGTGGTGGCGCACGCCTTTAATCCCAGCACTCGGGAGGCAGAGCCAGGCGGATCTTTGTGAGTTCGAGGCCAGCCTGGTCTACAGAGCGAGATCCAGGAAAGGCACAAAGCTACACAGAGAAACCCTGTCTCGAAAAACCAAAAAAAAAAAAAAAAAAGGCATTGTGTGGTGGTGCACATCTGTAACAGCAGCAGTGTGGGGTGATGGATCCCTGGAGTTCGTTGACCAGCCTAGTCAACTACTATGTTCCAGGTTCAAGGACAGACTTTGTTTCCAAAACTAAGATGGAGTGATCAAGGAAGACACTTGATGTCAATCTCTGGCCACCATAAGCCTGTATACACACACATACCCACACTGTGTGTGTGTGTACACCCCACGTGCCTCACACTTACACCACACACATAGTGTACACACGGGCTGGGGAGGAGCAAGCCTGAAGACCTGAGTTTGGATCTCCAGCACCCACAGAAAACCTTGGCTGTGAGGCAGCTTGTGCCTGTGATCCTGGCTCTGGGGAAGCAGAGGCAGGGACAAGGCACAGGAGGATCCCTGGGTATTACTGGTCAGCTAGTCTAGCTAATCGGTGGGATCCAGGCTCAGTGAGAAACCCTATCTAAAAAATTAAAGGCCAGCAAGATGGCTTAGCAGGTAAATACTACTGTCATGCAGGCCTGGTGACCTGAGTTTGATCCCAGGAGCCACAGTGGAAGGAGAGATCAACTCCTGAGTTGGCCTTTGACATCTACATGGCACACATGCATCTGCATTCACACACACACACTCACACATACTGCATTCACACACACACTGCATTAACACATATGCCGGGCGGTGGTGGCGCACGCCTTTAATCCCAGCACTCGGGAGGCAGAGCCAGGCGGATCTCTGTGAGTTCGAGGCCAGCCTGGGCTACCAAGTGAGTCCCAGGAAAGGCGCAAAGCTACACAGAGAAACCCTGTCTCGAAAAACCAAAAAAACAAAAAAAAAAAACAAAAAAAACCAAAAAAAAACACATACTACATTCTGACATACTGCATTCATAGACACACTGCATTCACACACACACACTCCATTCACAGACACACACACACTGCATTCACACACACATACTATATGTAATAATAATACATTAAAAAAATAAGGTGAAGCGGTCGAAGAGGACATCCAACACCAACCTCTGGCCTTGTTGCATGCACATGTGCCCCCCCACACACAATAAAAATAAGTGCACATACTTTAAGACAAAAACACTTTTGATTTTTTGGTTATGTTTTCCATCTCCAGCAATGAGCCATTTTATCCTTTCCTTGATTCTTTGATATGACTAAACCTGTTTATAAGGGTGCTTTGATTTTTTATTACCTTGAACGTATGTATTCTTTTCCATTTTTTCTTACATTTCTTTGTTTATTGTCATGGAGGACACATGCCATAGTGTACGTGTGGCTATTGGGACAGCTTCCAGGAGTTCATTCTCTTGTGTTGGCTCTGGATTCTCATGTTGTCAGCCTTGGTGGCAAGCACCTTTACTGCTGAACCATCTTGTCTGCCCTAGTTTGTTTTTTTGACAAGCTCAGCGGGCTAGCCTTGGACTCACTGCCTCCAGTGCACTGGTAATCCTGTGTTGTCTACTCTTTTAAAAAGAAACAAAGGCAGGGGTTGGGGGTTTAGCTCAGTGGTAGAGTGCTTGCCTAGCAAGCGCAAGGCCCTGGGTTCAGTCCTCAGCTCCGAATTAAAAAAAAAAAGAAAGAAAAGAAAAGAAACAAAGGCAGGATCTTTTCTCTTTCATTCCTCTTTTGCCATAGGCATGGCTATGTAGCCCAGGCTGTCCCATAGTCCTCAAACTTGAAAGCCTCTTTAGTCTTTTGAGTGCTGAGATTACATTCATGCATCACATCCAGCCAAAAGCAGAACTTACATTCACACCATCCTTATATTGGAGACCCTTCCTTCTCAGTGTGTGTGTGCGTACACGTTCGAGTCTGTGTGCATATGCGTGTGTGAATATGTGTGAATGTGGAGGCTAGAGGAAAACTTGAGTGTCATTCCTAAGTAGCTGCTCACCTTGGTGTTTTTGAACAAGATCTTACTATGTCGCCTTGGCTGGCCTGAAACTCTGTAGACCAGGCTGGAGCTGAATTCACTGAGATCCACCAGCTCTGCCTCCCAAGTGCACGGGCTGCTAGTTGTTGCAACTTGTTTTTTTTTTTTTTTTTTAATATTTATGTATTTTGTGTATGTGGGTGTTTTGTCTGCAAGTTAATCACAAGCTGTGTATGAGATTAGTTCTTTGTCAGATATATTAAAAATAATTTTCTGCCAGGTGGTGGTGGCGCACACCTTTAATCCCGACACTCAGGAGACAGAGGCAGGCAGATCTCTGTGAGTTCAAGGCCAGCCTGGTCTACAGAGTTGAGTTCCAGGATAGCCAGGGCTACACAGGGAAACCTTGTCTCAAAAGAACCAAAAACAAAATAATAATAATTGTCTTAGTTGGTTCTCATGAAGCTTTATTTTGTCCCTTTTAGTCAAATGCCTGTGGCTTCTGAGTATTTTGTTATATGTGGAAGTACTACAAAATTTACACTTGCTCCGTTCTAACACCTGCCTGTCACCAGCCCATCCTGTGTGTTCTTGCTCTGGCCAAAGGTCCCGTTCTTCAGACTCACAGGGACTGCTCCTTGCCCATCATTCCACATTCTGTCAGTGACAGCTTGTCTCTCCTGCCCAGTCTCCTGTGCCCACTGTAGCTGACGGACTTCGTTTCCCGAAGCTTATGACCACATTAGCTGCTATCAGCTTCTTCTTGTTAACTTTAGTTTGTAAAACAGGCTGACTTAAACAGTGTTTAATCTGCTCCCGGACGCTAGCTATCCCGGGGCAGCTAAGAGCATGACAGGCACATGGAAGGACCTAACATGAAACCTCCTAATTTGCCATAGAAGTACATGAACTAGCCACACGCTACTGAACATCCGAAATACGACTGATCCAAATGGAGATGAACTTCACCTGTATTGAAATGCCAGACCTGGAATCATCAGTGTAAGGGGGCGTTGGTGGGTCTCACTCTACTGCTAACTGAATGAAAACATTTTGGAGATATTCGATTACATACCTAAAATTTCTTTTTTTTTTCTTTTGGATACAGGATCTTGTCACATAGTAGGTTGGCCTGGAGCTCCGCTGTATACTCCACACTATCCTCAGACTTGGCCTCGAAGTGCAGAGATTATGGGCGGAGCCCCCACACCCAGCTCATGTCTTTTTACAAACGTTAAAGTATACCCAGCCTCCTTCTCTGTTTATGTCTGTCCTGAGGCCTGAAAAGGCTCAACCTACTGATGCCAGCACCTTAGTCACACTGGGTTGATATACAGATGATCTCTTCTCAGAGAAAAGGTATTTTCATGGTCTTCACGGCTCTCATAAGCAATTAAGCAGTCATTAATTGCTTGGATCCAGGGCCTCATCTTTATGAGCACTAATTACACATTTTCTTCTAGCTGCCATGCAGCTCGTAATGAAGTACAGCGGTTCCTCCTAACTGATCAAGCAACTGCTCGTTCAGTAGCATGTCACTAGTGAACAGGTCAGCCTCAGACCTAAAGGCTTTCATGGTCCAAGTACTCTCCTCTAACTGTGGAGATGAAGCTCCTGCATATCCTTTGGTCACTGAGACCATTTCCTGCATCGAGTGGTTTGGGACAGCTGGGCATGGTGGTGCACACCTTTAATCCCAGCACTCGGGAGGCAGATGTAGGCAGATCTCTGTGGGTTGGAGGCCAGCCTGGGCTACAGAGTGAGCTCCAGGACAGTCAGGGCTACACAAAGAGAAACTTGGTCTTGGAAAAAAAAAAAAAAAGATATACAGAGGAGGAAACTTGGCTCTGTCTCCAACTGTGACCATTCTGAGACCACCCCAAGCTAGCGCAGTTTCTGTTCTTCCATTCCCACGGTCTCCAACATTTAAAATGTTCTGTGGCCCTCAATCAGAGCTCCTCATTGTAACACTTCCTTCTCCTGGAAAACAAGTAAGACTCCTGTTTTCTGCCATTTCCCCTCTAAGCCTTTGCTCTAACAAGCATAACTGTTGCCCGCAGCATGTTGACAGAGTGTCATCACAAAGCGACGGCACCTTATTTTTGTTTAATACTTTATTCTGAAAAATTCCTTCTGATCCTTTGGCTCGTCTGGGCTCAGGAAAAGGAGGGCACTATTTCAGTTGTGTAGGTAAACTGTGGCTGAAGACAGGACACGGACTGGAAGGCAGGTGCTGCCACACGGATGCAGTGAATGGGATGCACGTGCTGTTGCCGAATTGGAGGGACTGTGCACCGATTTCAGTGTGGGGAGCAGACAGGAGGAGCCCACTGGATTCTCGAGCGTGTGCGATGAATGAACGCCACAACGGGATTAGGTTGGAATAGGATTAGTTTGCTTTTGGGATCTTTTGAATTTGAGATGCCTAATAACTACTTCAGGGGATTATGATTACAAAACAGGAAAGTATTAGTCTGCAGCCCTGGGGGCGGAGCTCCCAGGATATTTAAGAGCCATTAGGGGTGTGGGTAAGTTAAAGTAACAGGAAAAATATGCAGAAGGCTAGATGGAATCCTAAATCACCCGTGTCAGAATCAAGGTGCCTGCTAAACACAGAACCTTCACTGTGAACGTACTTAAGGCCACACAACTGTACACTTAAAAATGCCAGCCCGGGGGCTGGAGAGATGGCTCAGTGGCTGACAGCACCGTCTGCTCTTACAGAGGACCCACGGCCCACACACCATCTGTTAACTCCAGTTCAGGGGATCCGACACCCTCTTCTGGTGTCTTTGGGCACTGCATGCACATGGTGCACAGATATACATGCAGAACAACAAAATACACATAAAATAAATAAAAATGGCTAGCATGACAAATTTTGTCACACACATTTTGCTACAATAAAAGAATACAAGGCTGGGCATGACAGTGGAAACCTTTAATCCCAGCTCTTGGAAAGCAGAGGCAGGAGGATCTCAGTGAGTTCAAGGCCAGCTTGGTCAATATAACAAGCTCCAAGACAGCCAAGACTACATAGAGATGTCTGTGTCAAAACAAAACAAAACAAAAATAAAAAAAAAGCAAAACCAAACCAAACTAGGCCGGGATGGAGTCAGTGGCAGACTCGCCAGTGTGTGCAAGGTCCTGTGTTTGAGCCCTAGTCTTGAAAACTAAAGAGAGAGGGGGAAGGAAGAGGGAGGAAAAGCAAGATTACTAAGCTGTATTGCAGAACCAAATCACAAATCTCCACCTACCTCAAGGGTCACAACTAAATTTTTTTTTTTTTGGTGGGGGGGTGATGGGGGATGAGACGAAGGCTAGGGATCAAACCTTACAGGTATCTCGTAAACATTCTGCAATTAAGCTTTACTGTGAGCCCTAAACATCTGCTGTCATTGCTTTGGTTTTGTTTGTTTTTTTAAACACAGGGTGTTAATTTATAGCCCAGGCTGGCCTCAAACTATGTAGCTAAAGCTGGCCTTGAACTCCCTTGAACTTCCTGCCCCTGTCTGTCAAGTGCTGGCATCCACCACTACATCCAGTGTCTAAGTACTTCTAAGTATTTTTTTTTTAAATGCTGGTTGGCGAATCTTTCTAGTGTCTATAACTACTGTGCGAGGCTTGGCCTGCTCTAGAAAGGTAAGCTGCCTTCCCTACTGGCCACTTCCTGTAGCCAGTCCAGGACCTCTTATTGCAGATTTCATTGTGAGGCTTTGCTTCAAGGCAGGCCTAGCAGGTTCAGAAAATGCCTGGAGACACCAGATTGGATTTAAGGAGTTCAAAGAAATGACAGTTTGGAGCTTGAGAAATGGCTCAGGGGTTAATAGCACCGACTGCTCTTCCAGAAGATCTGGGTTCAGTTCCCAGCACCCATATAGCAGCTCACAACTGTTTGTAACTCCAAGATCTGACACCCTCACACAGACATACATGCAGGCAAAACACCAATGCACATAAAATAAAAATAAAAAAAAGAGAAAGATGACACAGTCTAAGATTAAACTGGTCTTATTTTTTATAAATAACCCCTTAGAGCCGGAGATGTAGTTTGCCTAGCACATTAAAGACCCTGAGTTTGATCCCCAGCAAACAAAAACAACTTCCAAAAGCAGTTTCATTTCCCAGGACCACAATCTCTACCCAGACTGCCTAGCTCACTGCTCTATGAATTCATTCCCCTCGGGGCCTATCCAAACAATAGGGAACACAGACACCAATTCTTTTTCAGTTGCTTGCTTCCACACTTTGCCAAAAGCCCCTGCCAGGTCTGGAGGCTGCCGGATCGCTCCAGGATGCGAACACAGTTCTCAGTATGAAAGCTTCAGTGTCTTTTCTGTCTTCCTGCGGTGTCCTTCTACTGTCCCCAGTACCCTAATCTGTTCCTTTCTGTCTCTCTGTCGGTGACTCAGGGGTTGGATGAGTCTCCATGGTGTGCTTTGCTCTGAACAGCAGAAGGCTTCGGTCCCAACTGGTATTGCCGAAGCAGTGCACGAATTCCATCGCATGGTCCTGCGTCAGGATCCGCACGATCTGGCTGGCCATATCGCCTCGGATGGTGAGGGAGCGGAAATGATCAAAATGATGGAGTCCCAGCTTTCGGAGGCGCCTTGCAGCTGCCCGGTAACATTTCCAGGGCTGTGGCTCCACCAGGAGGTATTGGCAGAGTGAGGAGAGATGGGCCAGGAACTCCCACAGACCATGGTCCCCATGGTTCAGATGAATCCACATGGTTACTGACATACAGAAGACAATGTCAAAAACCGAACGCCCAAACTGGCTTAAGAATGAACTCAGGGGAACCTTTCTGTTCCTTTGATCCATGATGTCCAGGGTGATAAAGGTCAAAGCATCAGGAAAAGGACATTCTTTTTTAGCTCGCTCCACAAGGACTGGGTCTATATCACAGCAGAGGAGGCGGAATTCTCTGGAGGCACCTAAGCAGGTCTCCCCATCATGCAGGGGAAGGAAATGTTTGTACAGAGCCACACTCAGGTCCTAGAGGAATCCAAAAGAGCCTTGTCACTGCAGCTCCCAAACAGCCAGTGGGAAAGAAATCTCTCATCCTTGAGACTGCCCCTACCTCTGACTGTACCGGATGTGAGGCTCTTAACATAATAATCTAAAGAGGCCAGTTTTTCATGAGCAGACTCTCAGCGCCCTCCAGGGGCTGCAGGCTGTAATGCACCTGCTCTAAACCCTATAATCTGTAGAATATTATTTTACGGTGTGTTACTTCTGTTTATGTTGCATTTGTTTAACTCTGTGAAGCTGTGTTACTGTGCCTGTCTAAAACACCTGATGGTCTGAAAAAAGAAATGAATGGCCAATAGCAAGGCGGGAGAATGGATAGGCGTGGCTGGCAGGCAGAGAGGATATATAGAAGTAGAAATCTGGGAGGAGGAGGAAGAAGAGATGGAGGAGTGAAGAAAAAGAGGAAGTAGCCAGAGAAGGAGGAAGACTCCAGCGGTCAGCCACCCAGCCACCCAGCCACCCAGCAAGCCATGGAGTAAGAGTAAGATTTACAAAGTAAGAGAATGGGGAAAGCCCAGTGGCAAAAGATAGGTGGACAATTCAAAGAAAGCTGCCAAGAAACAAGCTAAGTTAAGGCCAGGCAGTTATAATTAAGAAGCCTCCATGAGTGATTTATTTGGGACCTGGGTTGCAGGGGAGTCCCCCAAAAAGAGAAAAACAATTTGGCACCCAGTGTGGGGCGCCAATTGTTGTCCTTTTATTTAATTGTTGCTGCCTTTTAAGCCATGGCTGTCTGAATCAGCAACAGCAACTGTGCTACTACCAGCAGTGGTCAGGCCACAAGGGCCGTAGCCAGGGAAATCTGTTCCCTCAGGCTCTGACTCTTGCAAAGCTACTACAAAACCTGTCCCTCTAAAGAACTCAAGATTCAAAGGTTAAGGTGGAATTCTGCTCTTCAGAGAGGCTGAATAGCAAGTAGTTCACCTCCTCTCCTTTCTCACATCCTCCAAAAGCCCTCATGCTTCTCCTCACCCTCATAATAGTTTTTATTTTTTTGAGTCACTCTTAAGTGGCTCATGCTGGCCTCAAACTCACTATATAGCTGAGGATGGCCTCCGCCTCCTGAGTGCTGGATTACATGCACACACGATGCCTGGCCACCTATATCCTGACACTGACACAGATCGAGTTGTGCACTTGGAAGTTACAGCCCAAATGATGTGGCGAAGGCAACAAGGAGCCCAGAGCAGCGTCTTCCAGCTTAAACAATACACTGGCAAACTCATTCTTTTTCCGGGTGTCTCATCACCAAAAGAAAGGAATTCAGAAGTATGAGGGGTGTCCCTTATCAGGAAGGTGGTGAATACAGCAAGCAGCATCTTGTAAAAATCTGTTTCTCGGAGGCAGTTGGCAAAGTCCGGATTCTAGAAGTCCTAATCCAGCCTTCAGCTCCACAGCCTTCATTTCTACTGCCTGACCTTTTACCAGCTCCAGTCGCTGGGAGTCTTTCTAGCCATGTGTAACGACACGATTCTTACCATCTTAGCATGCCCCTGACTCTCAAACACGGTACCGTCTCATCCCTGCGTAATTAACCACAGTTATGCAACCACAGCGAATTCAAACACGTTTTTTTTTTTTTTTTTTGGTTTTTCGAGACAGGGTTTCTCTGTGTAGCTTTGCGCCTTTCCTGGAACTCACTTGGTAGCCCAGGCTGGCCTCGAACTCACAGAGATCCGCCTGGCTCTGCTGCCTCCCGAGTACTGGGATTAAAGGCGTGCGCCACCACTGCCCGGCTCAAACACGTTGTTTTTTACAAAGTTTCTTCCAAGGTGTTTCCTGTTCTTACCTCTGCAACTTTTCATGCAGGGAAGACCGTTCACAGTGGGAACCACTCACGTGTCCATTAACAGTAGCATGGACAAGTAAGAATAAGAGTCATTAGGATGGAAGATTAGCCTGTGGTGGCACACACTTTAATCCTAGTGCCCGGGAGGCAGAGGCTGGTGACCTCTGAGTTAGTTCCAGGCCAGCCTGGTCTATGGAGTGAGTTCTAGGCTACACAGAGAAAACCCTGTCTCAAAAATCCGAAGAGGGCCGGGCGGCGGTGGTGGCGCACGCCTTTAATCCCAGCACTCGAGAGGCAGAGGTAGGTGGATCTCTGTGAGTTCGAGGCCAGCCTGGGCTACCAAGTGAGTTCCAGGAAAGGCGCAAAGCTACACAGAGAAACCCTGTCTCGAAAAACCAAAAAAAAAAAAAATCCGAAGAGGGAAAAAAAAGATGGAATATTACTGACAGTATAAAGTTGAGTACCTTGGCTTAATGCACCAAAATAGAGTATTTTCAATTCTACCACTGACTGAATTTTCAACTCCATACTACTGACTAGAAAATCAAGTCGCAATGAAAACATATGGCAAGTTTCCTTTTTTGTTTTGTTTTTGTTTGTTTTTAAACAAGTCTCACTACGTAGACCAAGCTGGTCTCTGTGATTCCTGCTTCAGCCTCTCAAATGCTGGTATTACAGACATAATGGTGGTGTATTGACATAATGGACATGTAAGTTTTCCTTTATAAAAAAAAAAAATCCCCAGGTGGGAAAGCTAAACTAGATTGTTCAGGGATAGAGAAGGAGTAAGTTATAAACAAAAGCAAGGTGATAACAGGCTAGCTGTCACCTGTGGGTGGAGAAGGCTTCTATAAATAGGAAATGGCACACACACATAAAGACCCTCTGGGGTACAATGCTTTATTTTGTTTTTCTTTACTCTGACAGTGGTTATAAAGGTGTTGCCTTATAATCATAAAGTACAGATTTACGTTTTATGTACTTTAATGAGGGTATAGAGTAATTAACCAAAAACTCTGCATTTTAAAAATTATGGATTGAGGGCTGGCGGGATGTCTCAGTGGTTAAGAGCACTGGTTGCTCATAACCATCTGTAATGAGATCTGGCATGCAGGCAGAACACTGTATACATAATAAATAAATAAATCTTTAAAAAAAAATTACGGATTGAGCCGGGCGGTGGTAGAGCATGTCTTTAATCCCAGCACTTGGGAGGCAGAGGCAGGCGGATCTCTGTGAGTTTGAGATCAGTCTGGTCTACAGAGTGATTTCCAGGAAAGACGCCAAAGCTACACAGAGAAACCCTGTCTCGAAAAGCCAAAAAAAAAAAAAAAAAAATTATGGATCAAGGTTATTTACTTATCTAGAGTCACATAGCCAATGACATAGTAAGACTTAGGCTACATTAAGTTCCTTTTTCCACACCAGGCTTTCCTATCTTTTAAATAAATTACTTTTATTATTTATGTGTGTGCACGTGTCTTGGTGCTTACATATGCCATATGTGTGCAGGTGCTCAGAGAGGCCAGAAGAGAACATCTGGTCCCCTGGAACTGGAGTTACAGTGTTTGTGAGCGGTCTGATGAGGGCGCTGGGAACTGAACTTGGCTCCTCTGGAAGAGCAGCGAGCACTCTGAAGACTTGAGCTGTATCTCTAGCACCTCTTCTAACTTCAACGGTATACAGGTCATCCAGGGAGTCATCTTAAAATACAGACGCTGACTTAGTGGATATGGGGTAAAGGCTGAGAGTCTGATTTCTAATAAACTGTGAAGTCATGCTAACGATGTAGTTCAAAGTCACACTGGAAGGCACAAGAACCCACACCACACCGCTAAATTTACCTCCCTCCTCCTTCTGAAACTGTGTTTGAGGCCAGCATGGTCTACACATATGGAGGGCAGTGTGGCTACCCAGTAAGACCCTATGTAAAATTAAAAAAAAAAAAAATGCATATTTGGGAACATCTGCCTTGGTCAATTGCAACTGTGTCTTTTCTATAAAAACTGTGTGTTTTTATAGACGCTGCTTTCAACTTTAAAATCTTCGGTGGTTTCCAGGTTCCTTTCAGGAAATCTTTTTATCTGTTTTCCCACAGTATAGGAACACAGGGACACAAAGCCCACCTGCTGATCTCCAAAGCTCCACTCAACGGGAGCTTTGGCCTTCAGCCATCTACCAATGTCTGTCTGTCTCTCTGTCTCTGTCTCTCTCTCTCTGTAGTTTTTGGAAACAGGGTCTCATATAGCTCAGGCTAGCCTCGAACTTGTGGGGATGCCCACCCTTGTCTTTTGAGTGCTAGCATAACACGCCGGCAACCCCTGTCTCTTCCACCATCATCAGAGTAAAGCTCTCCCTCCACATCCCTCTAGTTCCCACTCTGGACTGATGGGGATTGGCCCTAACTTTGGAAGCATTTGCAATCATAGGGTAAAACTGCCTGCTCCATTAAGATATCCCAGTGGCTATGAACAGGTGAGATTGGCATTTCCTTATTTTGCATGTGGTTTGACTTATAATCATTACATGCCTAAAAACACTTTGCGGTGGGCAGGGTGGTTACGGCCTCCCTCCTCTAGCAGAACGATCTATTTTCTTTCTTGATCCTTTCTACTGTTCACTGCTGTACTCTGTTAGCACAAGGTTTAAGTAAATACGCACCTGGCTCCAGGTCTGGCCTGCACTGTCTATTTGCAGCCTTAAGTTTCAGACATGATTCTGTTGCCCTGGCTCTTCTCTTCTAGGAACCAGTGTTCCCAGATGTGGGTCCCCGGTCCCCAGCCAGGAGGCCAGCAAAGCAGTAGAGGAGGCAAAAGGCGGAATTCAGATTAGACGGTCCTCCTCCCCCGCAGTCCGGCGGGAATTTGGAATGAATTTGTGGATTACTCAAAATTCCTAACTCGGGGGAGGGGGAGGGGGGGCTGGGACGTGCACGTGTCTGTCAATGCTATTCTTTAAAAGCCCACTTTGGGCAAGTTTTGATGCTGCGCCCAGGCCAGAACCACAGGGGACGTGGAGGCGACACCTGCTGGGCTCCCGGCGCTCCGATCCCTCCCGCGTCACTCACCCCGGAGTTACACCCCACGTCGAGCCCTAGGATCGGCCTCCTCTCGCGACCCTCGGGAGGGAAGAGCTGTCGAAGAAGCTCCGGGGGCAGAAGGCAGAGCCTTTGCTCCGGAGGGTGGAAGCGAGAATAATGAGGGAAATTGCCGAACGGGGCGGCTCCGGGCTGCAGAGCGCCCGGATCCTCAGTCTCCACGGCCTCTTCTGCGGCCAACTCCGCCGCCGCCGCCGCCATTAGCCTCGGTCCCTGGGCCCGGGCGGAACCGGAAGCCCGGGACCTGCGGCGGGTGAGCGCAGCGCCAGCGCGCGTGCGCCTAGGGGAGAGGTCCGCAGGATGGGGTGCGATGGGGAGCGTGTGCGTGTTACCGTAAACGCTGGTGCAGAGATGTTCAGTACGCTACTGGGTGCCAATCGGTGACCACACCGCCGGATCTATTTGGGGAAAAACGAAGTGGAAGGGAGAAAGTTAAATTGAAAGAGAGATGCTGAGATGAAGTCAGCCAAAAAGTGGGCTGAGGGCTGTAGATTCAGTGAGTGTAGATTCAGCCTGCTGTGTGAGCATGTGGACCTGAGTTCCGATCCCTAACGCCCATGTAATAAACTGGGTGTGGTGGGGCATGCCTGTAATCCCAGGGCTGGGGAAGCAGAAATTAGCGGGTCCCTGGGGTTTTCTGGCTAGCTAGAGCTGGTAAACCCCAGGTTCGTTGAGAGATTCTGTCTCAAGAGGTAGAAGACCCGTGACACCAACCTCTGGCCTCCACACACATGTACAGGCACATAAGAAATAGTAATACTTACGAAGTTTTAAATGTCTAAATCAGAGATTAGGCATGGTGGAAGCTGGTGAGGAGAGAGACTGAAGAGTCAAGTCAGCCTGTCTTAGTCACTGTTCTGTTGCTGTGAAGAGACACGTAACCATGGCAACTCTTAATTAAAAAAAAAAGGATTTAACTGGAGGCTTGCTACAGTTTCTGAGGTTAGTCCATTATCATGGTGAGGAGCATGGAGGTATGCAAGCAGGCACTGGAACAGTAGCTGAGAGCTACATCCTGATGCATAGGCAATGACACAGACTCTGAGCTTGGCATGGGCTTTTGAAACCTCTAAGCCCACCCCCAGTGACACATCTCCCACAAGGCCACACCTAATCCTTCTAATCCTTTCAAAGAGTTCCACTTCCTGGTATCCAAATATATGAGTCTATGGGGGTCATTCTTATTCAAACCACCGCAAAGCCTAAGAAGCAAGTTCAGATTAGAAGTGAGGATGGCCCAGTATGTCAGACAGAATCAACCAGTGGAGTTGTGTTCTGACCAGCCTGTCTTATGGATATCTTTCACTCATTAGGCCAATGATGTGCTAAACCTACAAGAGATCGCAGCATGACCTCTATAGAAGTCCCAACAGGGTTCAAATAGGTCTGTAGCAACACCCCCACCCTACCTCACCCCTGTGCATGAGTGTGTTTTCTTTTTTTTTTCTTTTTTTTTTTTTTTTGAGTCAGGGTTTCTCTGTGTAACAGCTCTAGTTGTCCTGGATCTTTCTCTGTAGACCAGGCTGGCCTTGAACTCACAGAGATCCACCTACCTCTGCCTCCCAAGTGCTGGGATTAAAGGCGTGCATCACCACTGCCTGACTGGGTGTGTTTTGTTTTAAAATTTTTTTTTGACAGACTCTCATGCTGGAGTCTAGGTTGGCCTTGAACTTGTTGTGTAGCAGAGGCTGACCTTGAACTCTTGATCCTCCTGCTTCCACCTCCCACATTATAATAGGCCCACCATGTCCAGCTGAGGTCCTTATTTCTTCCCAGTCTTTACTTTGTATTTTCATCTCTGCCTGATTTCCTATTTCACTCTCTTCTTTTAAGATTCAAAGACACAAAGTAATGGCCAAAAGTCACAGTGGAATTGAGTAAAACAGAAAATCTAGGGAGAAAACCAACAGTATTTCTCTCTGTCGTAGATAGATGTAATTAGATTGTTTGGGGCAGGGTCTCACTCTATCTTCCAGTCAGGCCTGAGCTCATTACATTGCCTGTTCTAGCTTTGAGCAACCCTTCCTCAGTCTCCTGAGTGCGAGAATGACTTGTGGGAGACATCCTGTGCTGGACAGGTTTTGGTAAACTGAGTTAACCCTGCTCTGTCACTAGATGACACTATGACAAACACTTAACCCTCAGTTCTTCAGGTTCCTGAGTCACCTTCCCTAAACACCTTCAAGCACTCGGTGGAGGTGCTGGATGTCCTTTGCTTTTGTCAGTAAGGATTTAATTTCACTAGGAGGTGGGCACATCTTTGCGTTCTCAGAACGCTGTCAGTCACGAGACAAATGGGCAACAGGCGAGAGGGTGAAGGGCAGGGTGGTGGGCGGACTTTTCTTTCCTGCCCACCAGTTCCCAAATAACCAACACAGAGTCTTAATATTAATTATACATGCTCAGCCAATAGCTCAGGCTTGTTACTAGCTAACTCTTACATTTAAATTACCCATATTTCTTATCTATGCTTTGCCACGTGGCTTGGCACCTTTCCTCAGTACGGCATGCCCGTCTTGCTTCTCTCCTCTGCATCTGCTGGCAACTCCTCAGCTCTGTCCTTCCTCATCCCAGCATTCTCAGTTTGGCTTTCCTGCCTAACCTTATCCTGTTCAGCTATTGGCCAGTCAGCTTCTTTATTAAACCAATCACAGTGACATATATTCATACAGTGTAAAAAAGTATTCCACATAGGATCTTCCAAAAGCAGAGACAGGTGTTGGCCTGATGATGCTACTGGTTACCTAAAATGTTTTAGAGGTGCCCCATAAAGAAGCATTTTAATGTGACCCATTCTGCTACCTTTTTTAATGTGTACATTGTATGGAGTCTGATCAGCCTGGGGTTCTGGTCCTGTTGTGTGAAGAACCAGTCTCAAACAGTTGCAGCATCTCCTGGGAACTTGTTCTGAACTGTGGTGAGCTGTGTTTTGTGGCATCTGATTTATGCCATAGGCCATTCACTGGGTCAGGGATCAGGACTAATGACAGAGGATGTGTCCTCTGTGAGAAAAAACAAAAACTAAAACAAACCACCAAGTTATAAATATCAAATTATAGAAGAGAAAACTTATAATAATTACATAGTTTAAACATTAGCATTTATCAAAAACATCATTAAAAATTCCTGTAATAGTTGGAGTAATGGTTGCATTAGAATGTTACTCCCATTTTTTGCTGAATGCTATTTGATACCTCTGTGTGTGTGTGTGGGGGGGGGTGTAGGTTGATGTTAGTGTGCTCTACACATTATTTTTAAAGATGATTATTATTATTCTAAACATTTACTTATTTGATATGTCTATGTACATACCTGAGTATATGTATGTGCACCATGTGTATGCAATGCCTTTGGAGGCCAGAAGAGGACAGTAACTTCTGGAACAGGAATTACAGGTAGATAGGAGCTGCCTGATGTGGGTGTTAGGAACCAAACCTTGGTCCTTTACAAGAATAGCAAGGGTTCTTAATTGCTGAGCCATCTCTCCAGCTCCTAAGATGATGATAATAATTATTATTATTATTTTGCTTTTGTTGTTGTTGTTTGGTTTTTGAGAGAGGGTTTCTCTGTGAAACAGTCCTGGTTGTCCTGGATCTCTCTCTGTAGACCAGGCTGGCCTCAAACTCACAGAGAACCGCCTGCCTCTGCCTCCTGAGTGCTGGGATTAAAGGTGTGCACCACCATTGCCCAGCTATTTTTGTTTTTATATAGTATACTATGTGTCTATGTGAGTGTATGCCACGTGTGTGGGTGCCCTTGGAGGCCTGGAGAGGGTGTCATATCCCGTGGGACTGGAGTTATAAGCAGTTCTGAACTGCCCAACATAGGTGCTGGAAATAGAACTTGGGTCCTCTGGAAGAGTAGCAAGTCCTCTTAAGTGCTGAGCCGTCTCTACAGCCCATCTACCTTTTTTTTTTTAAGGCATTGTTTTAGTTAGGGTTTCTATTACTATACAGATATACCCTGACCACAGCAACTCTTATAAAGGAAAACATTTAACTGAGGTGGCTTACAGTTCAGCGGTTTAGTTCATTATCAGCATAGTGGGAAGCGTGGTGGCATGCAGGCAGACATGGTGCTGGAGAAAGAGCTGTGAGTCCTACATCTTGATCCACAGGCAGCAGGAAGAGACTGAGACACACTGGGCCTAGCTTGAGCTTCTGAGACCTCAAAGCCTGCCCCCAGTGACACACTTCCTCCAACAAAACCACACACCTCCCAATAGTGCCAGTTTCTTTGAGCCTATGGGGCCATTTCCGTTTTAGCATAAAGGGTCAAATTTCTCTTCATGTTTGAGTTTTTAAAAGTTTCTAGTACTAGGAATGTAATTCTGCTGATAGAGTGTTTTCCTAGCATACACAAGGTCCTGGGTTCAATTCTCAGTGCAACATAAAAACTAGGAATTCTTGCAATCCTAGCACCCTAGAGGTAGGAGCAAGAGGGATCAGAAGTTTATGGACATATTCTAAAAATGTGATTAAATTTTCTTTTAGTCCATAACTTCTTTAAAAACAGAAATAGTTTATTGTGATTTTATTTTTACATACCTACATGTAAGTGCAGCATGTAGTGCCTGAGGAGGCCAGAGAGAGTGTTAGATGCTTTGGAGTGACACCCATGGAGTTACAGACAGTTGTGAGCTGCCTGCTGGGGTGCTGGGAACTGAACCCAGGTCCTCTGCAGGAGCTAAGCCGTCTCTGCAGCCCCCTCCGCCATACAAACCTTTTCGTTTGCACTGAGAGCAGTGTTTTATATCAAGTCATCAAACATTTACACATAAGAGTTCTTTAGAATTAAAGAAATATTTTATTTTTAAAGTGTGTGTATATGGGGTAGGGACAGTTTGTGCACACAAGTATAGTGTCAGAGGAGGCAGGAAGAGGGCTTTGGATCTCCTGAAGCCAGAGTCTCAGTTGGTTATAAGCTGCCTGACAAGGGTACTGGGAACTGAACTTGGGTTCTCTGTAGGAACAGGATATTTTCTTAACCATTTAGCCATCTCTCCAGCCCCTAATTTTTTTTTAATTACATTTTTTTAAAACCACGTATGTGTCATGATGCACAGGGGCAGGCTAGAGGACAATTTCTGGAAATTGATTTTCTCTGTCCAGACTTGGCAGTAACTTCCTTTACTCACCAAGCCCTCACTAGTCTAAACATAGGAATTTTGATACATTATGTTTTGTATGGTTTCCACAAAAAAGGAAAAGAATGAACTGGATGTGGTGGTGAACTCAGAGACCGAAGCGGGAAGGTTAAAACTCGGAGGTCAGCCTAAGCTATATAACGAGACTTAATCTAAAAAAAAAAAAAATGAGGACTGGGGATCTAGCTCA